GCGGCCTCTGCTAGTCCTCCAAGCACACACAGGCACCTTTCGTCCTTAGCCCAGTAGAGAGAAGACGGGAACAGTACTTCCCTCGTGCCGCCCACACCCGCTGCCCGCTAGTTGGAGACCTGCTTCTCAGCGTCCCCAGACATGTGCAGGCCCCGCGGGGCTGCTCCGGGGCCTCTGCGAGCAGGCGCTGGCTCGGACACATTCCCATCTGCACAGACAGCGCCGAGGGTCCCTGCAGAGCCTTCGTCAAGAATGATGACGCGACGTCTCTACGTCTTCATTTTGTCAGAACGACGAAGTAACATGAGCGCTTTAACTACAGACGCTATGAGGCTTTTGCCGGTTTTTCCGCTAACGTTCTTTCTCTCTTCCAAGATTCAGTCCAGGACACCACGCCGAACTTAGGGGGGCCTATTTACAAAAGAACCTGTTGCTTCAAAAGGCAGCGTCCCTCACAGCATCGGAGCACAGCCTAAGAGGGCTCCCTGGGCACCAGGAGCCCGGCCGGGCGCTGGGAGGAGGGGCACCCAGCATGGGGTGGGGCCGAGCTTGCAGGGGCACTGCTGGGGCTGGGGCTTCCCTTGATCTCCACTCCCTGACCGCGTGGATGGGACTGGAGACACGTGTGGGGTCCCCCTAAGATCAGACACCCCCTCTTTCATTCATTCATTCGGTGAAGCCACTGACATCAGGGTTAGTGCATCACTTAGGCCTTTATCTGGCCCAGTCTCCTTAACTGAGGGTTCGGCCTCCAGGGCAAGAGGTAACCACCAAAAACCTGCCTGTACCGTTCACTGGATTCCAGAAGCTTCTCACACCATGAAGATAAAAAGCCTAATGCAGTATATTTATTTTTTTTAACTTTTTAAGATTTTAACTTATGTTTTTTTGGGGGGGGGATGTGTGAGCGTGTGGGGGAGGGGCAGAGAGAGAGAGAGAGACAGAGAGAGAGAGAGAGGGAGACACAGCATCCTAAGCAGGCTCCAGGCCCTGAGCTGTCAGCACAGAGCCCGACGTGGGGCTTGAACCCACAAAGTGCGAGATCATGACCTGAGCTGAAGTCGGACGCCCAACCAACTGAGCCCCCAGGCGCCCCAGTCTATTTATTTTCAAGTCACACCCTGGAGCAGCACGTCTGTCTCTGCTGCCCCCAAGCCTGGGGCGCCACCAGCCCCTACACAGACCGCCTGGTTTACAAGCCGAAGCAGCCGAGGCCGGGGCTCCGCACTCCACTTGCAGCCCTCAGCAGCGGTGATGACGTCCCCCGACCCCCGCAGACACTGCAGGACGCAGCCACAGCCCTGTCACCAAAGCTTCCCCATCACAGACCAGTGCTCCATCTCGGAGGAAAAGAGCAGACGCTCTAAACCCGCCTTGCGTCACCACAGCCCCGTTTTGTCGCCATCAGACCCAACGCCGAAGGCTCTGCTTCCCCCTCACATTGTCTCTGCTGTTTGGTTAGTCTAGTTGTTTTTTTTTAATCCTCTTTTCAGAAAGACCATCTTTTCACGTTTACTGTTTTAGCCACGTGTTCATTGTCTACTCTCGAACTTTTCACTTTCTCGCTCTCTGGCTCTGAACCACGCCATGGACGGTGCGAGGGCTGTCCCCACGCCCACCCTTGGTGGCACATTCTGTTCTGCGACGCTATGACAAGTCCCTCCTGTCACTCCCTGTGGCTGAGTCACGCCAGCCACCTGGGGAGGTCGGCTTTCCTGGCCTCCAGAGAGCGGGGTCCACGCTTCCTGCCTGTTTTTCCACGAACAGAGCTGTGCTATTTCCCTTCTTCTCAGGGGCCCAGATTTCCAACATCGGGACCGGTGCTCTAGGGAATTCCGGGAAAGAAGCGCCTCCTGGATTCCTGTGTCCCCACTGGCGACATCTCAGGACCGACACACCAAAGGGGAGGGGAAAACCTCAGAGGATATTGCTTTTTTTTGCAAGGCCGGGGGAAAGGTATGGCTGCTGGCGGGAGCATTGCGTGAACTTCCCAGGGCTTGGAGCCCTGGAAGGGGCCCTGGAGGTTGAAGCTGGTGCTTAAGGCAGTGTGGACCCCAGCGCTTCCTGGGGCACACAGCACCTGCACCTCCAGGCCCCCCTGGCTGCACCCTGACTCCCGAGAGAACCTATCCCCTGCGGCCCCTCCCCAGCCCAGGCCATGGAGTCAGCCTGGCCCACAGCAGATCTGATCTCAGGGAAGGCCTTTGTTCTCTGGAATTCTCTTCCCCCCAGATTCACACCAGACTGGTCTCTTAGATCTTCAAGGCTGCTGCCCAATCTCTGGAGATAAGTAACAATGCTCAGCACAGGCTGCAGCAGGGCTTTCAAGTCTCTACAAAGGCCCCTCGGCAGGAACCATCCCCCCCAGGAGCCAGGCAGATGCCTCAGGCACTTGCTCCAGGCCACTGCGCTGGGGTCTGTCCATCTGACTGACGGCCTTAGCTCTGGGCTCCCACGCCTTCCAGTGGGGCAGTGGGGACAAGGAGCGACACTTCCCTTTCCAGAACCCGGGCGGTGGGCTTCACTCTTCGTTACGGTCAAGAGCGAAGAGAAAGCAGAAGCAGAGGGCTCAAATACTGAACCTCAGGAGCGTCCTCACCACTGACCTACAGTCTGATCCCGGGTCACTGAGTGGGCAGCTGTCTGGGTTCAAACCCCACATCAGCACTGACAAAGGGAGACCTTGAGCAAGCCGTCTAAACACTTTGTGCCTCTGTTTTCTCATCTGTAAAACAGAGGTAATAATAGTTACCTACTCAGGTAGATGTGTTTTGCATGAGGCCTAGACGGCCCACAAGTAGGCACAGAAGAAGCAGTCAATAAATAGTTGTCTATGCTCTTTGACAACCACTTTCAGCTGCTTCTGCTACAAAGCTCTTCCAGCTATGACAAGCAGCCCCTTTTTTCTGACCTTGCCTACCCCGGGGAAGAGTCCTTGTCACAAACGGGCAATGAGACAAGGGTCCTTGAGCCTAGCAGACAATAGGGGAGGAGATGACCTTGCCACAGATAAGGCAGATTTCTTAATGGATGCAGTTAAGGATCGAGGTGATACCTATTAAAGCCAGAGGTCAATAAGAAGTTAATAAGTAGAAGATCCAATGTTGAGTATAAGTTACCTATCTGTTGAAGACTGTGTACCCATAAGCCTCTAGTAAAATGACTCCAAGTGGCAAGTGATGCCAACTGTCTCCCTACCCAATGCTCTAATTCAGGGGCTCCCAAACTGGGGCATCAAGCAGAAGCCAGACTTCCAGGCTCCACCCCGGGAAGTCTGACCAGAAGATCTAGATTTGGAGTGACCCAGCCTCCCGGGTGGGTGGAGGGGTCCAAGGCACCCACTCCGGGAAGTGCAGCCAGACAGTAATGCTCTCAGTCTCATCCGTGAGTGGGAGGGCAGACACTCAGGGGAGCGAGCTGCATCTAAGCGGGTCTGGAGGAGGGCACGGGGGTGGGCGCCTGCCTCTGTAACAGGCGGGGAATACTCTCTTCCCGTTCTAAGTCTGGACCCCCGGGGCTCAGGATCTGCGGGACCAGGGAGAGCTCCGTATAGTGGTCCCGTCTTCAGACTTGGAGCCTTTCCCACCAGTGTTAGGATCAGCACCATGGAAGACTCATGACACTTTCACCACCATCCCCAGGAAGAAACCCCGAGTATTACTAAAGTGGTTTTGTGGCCAAGGGGTGTGGAGAGAGCACACCAGGCACATGCTCTCAGCGCGATTCAGGGCTGGCCATTCTAGGCCCTCCTCCACCTTCGAGAGGGAGTCAGCCGCCCTGACTCATAGCTGTGGGCCAAGTCCTACCTGCCGGTGTGCCCAAGGGCCACAGGACTCCGTGGCTCCACTATCTAGGCTTTCATCTTCATCTGCCAGAACACGCAGAGACGGAGAAGAGACAGACTTGGGCTTTAAGAAAACTCTGGCCTGCAATGTTCTGGTGAAAGTCTACGGACTTCACCTCTGACGTCCCAGGCTGGGGCCAGGACTGGAGCAGAAGGCAGAAAAGCGGAGCTAAAGTTTCTTTCCAAGCTGGGGGAGCACTTTTTCGCTCACTGCCTTTAAAATCCTTGTTTGTTTTACACGAGGACAGACGATGCAAGTAACACAACTTCAACCAAACCAGGAAGGCAGCTTCCCAGGGTCCTGTGTGCGCTCTGTCCACACAGGGAGCCCGCAGTCACTCGAAGGCCAGGAACTCTGTTAGAGCGCAGGGAGGGCGGGTGGGGGCTCAGCAAGCCCCCGCCTCTGTCCCGCTTGGGACATCTGTGTCCACCGCGGAAGGGACCACCAACTGGGCCACCCTGTGGCTCTCGGCCCCGTTCTGTCGAGCCCGGTCAAAAGTGGCTCCAGCTACTTAAACCCAATGTACAGAATCCCGTCTGCAGTCTCCAGGGCAATGCCCACCCTGGCACCCCCTCAGCACCTTCGCCGCCCAGTTCCCGGGCCGGACTCAGACCGGGGAAAACTGCCATTGTCCCCGGCACGGTGACGACGACGACGAAGTAGGACACTCTTGTCTCGCTCCCCCCTCGGCCCGCCCACTCTCCCAAAGCCTCTCATTTAGAGGCAGGAGAAAACTCTCTGCCAAGGACGGTATCTGGACCCCCTTCCCAGGTCCGCACACACGTTTCTCCTGGTACCCGGGCGCCCCCCGCACAGTCTCCCCTCCAGAAGCCACGGTTGCGCTCAGGTGACGATGCCGCAGGCTACTTTTTAAGTTACTGGCTTCGGTGGGAGGACCCGGCCTGTAACGCACACGGCAGAAGTGGGGAACCCAAGGGCAGGCAAACTCGAGTTCTCCGGGGAAAGCCGGCTCTCTAGGAACCGGGGCTGGGTCACGGCCGCGCGCGCGCGCGCACACACACACACACACACACACACACGCACACACGCACACTCAGGTGAGCACGCATGGACTGCCTTCTGCTGAGGCCACTCTGTGCCCCCGCTGCTCTGTTGTCGGCGAATCAAAGCCCACGAACGGGCCCCAGGACTTACCGCGAGGACGCTCTGGGCCAGGAGCCCCACGGTCACTGCCCCCAGCAGCAGCCACCTGGATGGGGAGGGAGGGAGGGAGAGCGCCGTGAGCGGGGCCGGCTTGGCGCGCACGTCCCGGGTCACCCGCAAGGGCCCCGGCGCGCAGGACCCACGCGGCCGCGGGGAAAGTCGCTTACCGCCGCAGGGCAGGGCTGGGCGCCAGGCTCCGGGGTCTGTCCATGCTCCCGGTCCGGCCACCGCGGGCGCCGCTCGGTCCGTCCTAGCCTGGGGGGCGCGAGACAAAGCGGGTTTAGCAGGGGCTGGGGACGGAGCGTCGCGGCCCCCGGGACAGCGGGACGCGTCCCCGCATCCCCGCAGGGGTGCCAGAGAGCCGCCCCGAGACCAGGCGGAAAGAGGGGGAGCCCTGCACTTAGGCCCTGCTCGGCGCTGCCTCGCCGCGGCCGCCCCACGCCCGCTCCGCTTCAGAGGAAGCGCGCGCGGCCCCTCGCCTGCTCCGGGCGCCCCGACTTCCCAGCCCGCCGCCCGGGTCTCGGCGTCCCCGGGGTCGCCTCACCTCGGGCCCGGCGTCCGCGGCCGTCCGCGCGCATCCGCCGCTGCCGGAGCGCAGGCGGCGCGCGGTCGCCCTCGCGGGTCCCCGGGCGCCCGCCCGGGTCCTCGGTGCTCCGGCCGGTGGGCGAGCGCGGGGGGCGCGGGGTCGCGCGGCGGCGGCCACCGGTGGGTGCGGAGCGCGGAGTCCTGGCGTCCCGGCGCGCCGCGGCCGCAATCCGCGGGCCGCGCGCTCCCGCCGCCTCTTACCCGCGCCGCAGGGTCCTCCCCTTTGAGACGCCGCCCGCGCGCCGCCGAGGGGAGGGGGCAGCGCCAACAAATTGAGGAGCTCGCCGGGCCGCGCTCAGGTCTCCGCCGCGAGCCGCCGCGCCCCGGACGGTGCGCAGCGCTCGCGCCCCGGCCCTCCGCCAGCGAGCCGCCCGCCGACCCCCGCCGGCCCCCGCCGCCCCCCGCCGCCCCCGCCGCCATGGGGCCCCGGCTCGGCGTCTGGCTGCTGCTGCTGCCCGCCGCCCTTCTGCTCCACGAGGAGCGCAGCCGGGCCGCAGCGAAGGTGAGTCCCCGGCCGGCTCGGGTCCCCCCGCGTCCCGCCCCGCGCGGTCGGCGCGGCCCCTTTGTCCCCGGACCCGGCGGCCCGCCGCTCGGGGGGTCGCGCGGGGCACGGCCGGTGCCCTCTCCGCGCCGGTCCCCGCCGGTGACCCCCGGGGGGCTGCGTCGGCGCATCCGTTAGGGAGCCTCCTTTGTTGTGGGCTGGGTAGGGGCGAGGCGGAGGGCTCCCCGGGGGCTCCGGGCGAGCGCAGCGGAGCGGGGTGCGCACCGCGCCCGGGAGTCCGCGGGAGGGACTCGAACTCGCGGCGCGGGGGCCTCGGCGGCCCGGCGCCTTCACCTGCCCCGGGCGCCCCCGGGTGGGCCGGGGCCGGGCGGGCCGGGCGCGCGCGCCCGCGCTGCGCACAGCCCCACACTTGTGCCCGGGAGTCGCTCTGGGCGTGTTTCTCCCGTTCTCGGGCGACTCTCCTGGTCGATGCTGTACATTCTGGGCCGTTTGCCTGGAAACAGCTGTATTTGTGCTTTCCCACGACCGCGCCGCCGCCGCGCAGGACGCTCCGCGCAGAAGTGGGGCTCCTGTGCGCGCGGCTTGGGCGAGGTAGCCAGCCCGGCCCCTCGCCGCTGCCTGTGTGCGTTAGAAAGCTATAACCATTTTATATTTGAGCGTGAAAGCAAAGCGAAACTCCATCTTATTGTTCTAAGCACAAATTGTTTTCATTTCCTCGGGCTGTGTGTTTGCCCGGAAAGGATCCGGGAGCCCGGCTTGCTGGTCAAGGCTTCCAGCCCTGGACGGTCCTCGGTTTGCTGTGGCTCCTTTCTTTTTTCCCTCTTCCCCTCAGACGGAATAAAGACATTTCCCGTTACCCAGTGGGTGAGCCTTGTGGACAAAACCCCCGAAAGTATGACTACCACGCGCGGTTTGCACCCCCCCCCCCAACATTTAAAAGTTACTTTGCTTCTTGCCGATTTTCCCACTTGCTGCTTCACTGTTTCAGATCCTGATCTTGCTCTTAGGTTTTGTTTGTTTGTTTGTGTTAACTTCTCTCCTGGAGGATGGATTGCCACCGACCCCACCTCACTGGATGTGGGATGTATTAACTGTTAGGGGCCAGGAGAAACTGGTGGTGCGCTCGCATGCCGCACCATCCCGGACTTGACCCTTTACTGGCAACCCCTTCACGGGTGTTGAAAAGGCTGGTGATCACAGCGGCAATGAACTTCAGACGGTTTCTCCCCGCCCCGGAGTGGAGCCAAGCTCCATACTCCGTCTAAACGCTCTTTAGTAATGATGACAAAATACTTTCAAAAGAGCAGTCTCTACAACACTTTATTTGGGTGTAGAAATATTGACCAAAAGATTTATGACTTCCAAGGAGAGATTGCTAAACTCAGTGGCAAACAAATGAGAGAAAGTTCTCCATTTGGAAATAGGAACCTCTGTTTGGACTTAGAGTTTCTAACTGATGATATTAGCAAAGCGAAGCTAATTATAAGAGCGAGCTTTTCACACAGCCAGGACTTTAAAGAATGAGCCACTCATTTATGGGAACCCCTGTTCTTGCCTGGGAAATCAAACTCCTTGCTCTTCAGTTTGGGATTATTTCATTTCCCTTTAATTCGTCACTTAGGCCCAAGCACATTCCTGTCCGCTGGCTTGGTTCTAAACCTCAAGGGATCACATAGTATCTTAAGATACCTGCCATGTGAATGGACACCCCTCTGATCAATCACCAGTTGACTTACCAGGCATTATCATTCTACTTTATTTTTCCTGGCCTAATTAGACTTACATGGACATGACTTATGGATGTATAAGAAAATCCAAAAATAATAATTTGTCTAATTTTAAAGTTGTTTCACTCTTCATGCCACCAGGAACATTTTTTTGCTTACCTCTTGGCACAGTTACCTGTTAGGTACCAACAAGTTGAAATAACTTCAGTATTGATCCAAGCAAAACCCATTGAAAAGTACATTTTGAATGATAAGGTGCTATAAATCAATGAAATCTGGACACAGAAGCCAACACAGATGATTCTTGGATCACCTGTGCCTTTGAAAGAGTGTCTGAGTCACACTTTTACCTGCATTTGTACCTGTCCAAACATCACCTCCTGTGCTGGGCGAGAAGTGCACAGCTCCCCTCCCCCCATATGGAGGGCTACTTGATTTTATACTTGACCATATCTGCCATGGTAGATACTAGTAGATGGGTTTTATTAGCCAGTGACTTTTTCCCAGGCCGAATCTACGCTGACTCCCATCCACGCTTTTCTTTCTGAGGCAAGAAAGGAGGAATGGGGTGCAAGCCTGAGACAAAACTGGGCCCAAAGTGTTATGGCTGGGGGCGCCCTCTGTTCCCAGTCATGCAGTCAGACTGAAGGGAAGGGTCTCCAGCGCATGCAGCCTTGACTCCTCCCTCACCGGTCCGAGGGACACCCCTTAACAGAGACGATTTTCCTCTCCGTGCGGGCTGCCTGCCGCGTGGTACCGCCGTCGTTAGTCCATCACTCACTCTCCTGGGGCTCAGTGGCCCGGAATTCCAATGAAGTGAGATTCGGTTCCCGTGTGAGTAGGGACCAGCCATGTTCTGCTGTGTGATTTAAACGAGAAGGCTGATTTCTAACTTAGAGCCAATGACAGCGACACCAGCAGCAGCCCAGTATTTCAGGAGTGATACTGTGAAGACGTAATCCAAACCATCGTCGTCTCTACAGGCAGACTTGATCAGAAGGAAGGTACCTCTGATACCAACCAGGAGAAATAGCGTATGTGAATTGCGAGTGTGTGAGCGTGGACCCTTCACCGAATTATTAGTGGTGTAAGTTAATCACATACACAAAGAGCGAGTGTGGTTTAGGGACCAAGTGATCTTAAATTTTGCCTGTGATTATTAAGCAGATGGTTTTGGAGGACTCATTCATCCTCTGCCTCCGTCGCTGGCAGATCTGTCCCTTCTCCGGGGATCCACCCCCCCTTCCTCTGTTCGCACACGCGCCCTAGGCACTTCCGCATGCCCTGCTCTCTGCCTGGTGGTGGCCGGGCCACAGTGAGAGGGACCCACTCTGCCTCCAGGAAATTCACAGTTCGGCAAGAAGTGCTGAGCACCAGGCAGATACCGCTCAGGCGGGTCAGGGCTGCCATCAAGGTGAATTGAAGGCCAGGGTTGGGGGTGGGGGGACATCTAAGCATCTCTGGGGAACTCAGGGAAACTTCCTTGAGGACATCCCGCCTCCAAATCTGAGGGGGAAATAGGATTATGAATTCAGTGTATTATTTTCATGAGTTGTTACTGTACGTTATACTCAGGAGGGGGGATAGATCTACTCACCTGGTCTTGCGTATACCTCCAGGTGTTTGCATTTAAAAGTGACCCTAAGGCCCCCTCCTTTGAGATACCAAGATGTCATTGCTTCTGTTATTAATCATGGTGACCTAACTTCTCTCCTGGAAGGGTAGAGTCATTGATGGACAAGGTCTCGGAGGACAGTGGCGAGAAGCTCCCGGCTCCCACCAGTGGCCCTGAGATCTGTGGTGTCCCCTCTCCCGAGGCTGTGGGTCCGTCGGGGATGTTTGGAAGGTTGCCACATGGATGGCTGATTCCAGGCTGGAGTGCCTTTAGGAACTGACCCAGAAAACCTGCCCACGCTTGGGCAAGGACATGAGGGAATTCACAAAACCCTGCATTATTCATTAACAGGCCTGTTGGCAAATATCTTGGGCCTGGTAAGGATGGTCATAACTTTACAAGTTCAGTTATTTCGTTAAGAGCTGGTGAAGATTTTGCAGACCCATTGAATCCACGAGCGAGGCTCTAAAACGAATCCTTTTGGAAGTCCGGAAGGCATCAAGACTTATAATACGTTACAACACTTAATTTGCAGAAGTATATACAGTGTTTGTTATAACATTTGTTCCAGAAATTTAAAAAGGATTAGCCTCATTAAAATGCCTCTCGAGCCCATTTGGTATTTTGAATTCTTGAGGTAGAGTAAGCAAAGGCAACAATAGAACGCCTAAAATAATATCATTAGGACATTGTTCTTCCTGCTATGATTAAACAACCACTAAAAAATGTCAACCATAAAACAATACGAAAGACATATTCCTACCATTCTTATGTGTACAATGAAAGAGGATATAAACCAGAACACGTTTCAATGGTTAATTTCTTTTGAGAACTTGAACACCAGGAGGATTACTGGGGTTAATATTTTTTTCATCCGGCATACGGTGAACTGGTTCCGTCCTGTGTTTCCCCCCATTGTTCCCTCGTCCCAGTCTGGTGACATGTGTCCCTCCTAGTTTTCTTTCTGCTTGTCCCTTCTGCCTGTCCCCAGGCCTTCACGGGGGTGTGCCGTGGGGTCCACCCAGCCGGCTCCCTCTCCTCTCCAGCTGGGGAGATCTCCTGGAATGATCCCTCATCATTCCGTGAAGGCCGTTCCAGACCTTTCTCTTGAATTCCAGTCTTGGGTCTTCATGTTCCCCTGGGACAGGCCACCTTGGCGCTGGTCTTAGACTTAGTGAGCGTGTTCAGAACCGAACTTAACCGCCCCTTACCCGACCCAGACCGACTGCCCATCCTGACCGTTGTCTTTTGGTTGTTGGTGGCCCGGTGTCTGCTGACACTCAGCTCAGACGCGGTGGCTTCGCCCCAAGGCCTCACCCTCTCTGCTTTCCAACCTCCACGTCACTCAGCCACCAAGGCCGCCATGTTTTCTTTCTAGGTGCTTCTCCCCGTCCCTGCCTGCTTTCCCTTCCCACGGCCACAACCCCCTTCCAGGTCTGTGCACCCTGGGCGGCGTTGCCCCAAAGCCCTCGGGCGTGTCGTTATAGTCGTGGGTCCCGTCCATTTGTTGTGTTCTCATGAGGGTAACGGTCTGCAGAGAGCCCACTGTGACCACGTGACTCCCCTGACAGTGGCTACCTGCCATCTAAGCAGAGCTTCCCTTCTTTGCAGCTGGGTGGTTTTTGTTTTTTAATAAAGACTATTTTTTATAGAGCAGCTTTAGGCTGACAGGAAGGTGCAGAGAATTCCCCTTAAGCCCCCTCCCCCCTACATGAGCACAGTCTCCCCCGTTACCAACATCGCCCACCAGAGTGCTCCATTTGTCCCAATGAATGAGCCTACGGTGACACGTCACAATCACCCAGACCCTGAGTCTCTTGTTTACGCGAGGGTCACCCTTGGTGTGGTGCGTTCCGTGGGCCTGGACGGATGTGCAGTGACATGCCGCCCTCACTGTAGTATCAGCCCGAGCATTTTCGCTGCCCTCGAGACCCCCTCCCCCTTCCCTTCCCCCACCCTCTCTGCACTCATTCTTCTATTGTCTCCATGGTTTTACCTTCTCCAGAATGTCAGGTGGTTGGAGTCCTAGAGAATGTAGCCTTTTCACACTGGCTTTCACGTGGCGATGTGCCTGTCGGGTTCCTCCATGTCTCTTCATGACTTGGTAACTACGGTCTCATTAGCACCGAGTGACAGTCTGCGTCTGGACGCACCTCTGTGTATGCATCCACTCGCCTACCGAGAGGCACCTTGGTTGCTTCTGGGTTTTGGCGATTATGAATAAAGCCACTTTAAACATCCAAGTGCAGGTTTTTGTGTGGACTTAGGTGCTCACCTCCTTTGGGTAAGTACCTAGGCACGTGATTGCCAGGTCGCACGGCGGGAGCAGGTTTAGCTTTATGGGTGACTGCCATGCTGTGGCCGTGCCACTTGCGTTCCCACCATTATCACAATGGGTGGGAGTTCCTGTGCTCCACGTGTTCCTCAGCACTTGGTGTGGTCAGTGTTGGAGTTTGTGGGCCTAGCAGCGTCTCATTGCAGCTTTAATTTGGATGCGGTTTGCGGGCCCTCCGCAACCCAGATCCATGGGATTTATCTGGCCTTCTTCATTACTCCCCAACCTAGAAGGTGGGTAATTGCCACAAAGGACCAATCTCTGTGTTCCATGGGACGATGTAATCTCTTTGAGCCTCAGGTCTCTAATCTAGTAATACAACGTTGCGTCACCCTGTGTGGTCGTGCGCAAAGTAGGTCAGAACTTGAGAAATGTTGGTTGTCATCACAGCTGCGTGGCTAGGGTCGCATTGTCTTATGTGTGTCAGTCTCACACCACTGACAGTTCCGAGACACTGGAGGACACAGCTCCTTTTTAAAATCCCCCAGTGTGTGGAGCAGCACCCGGCCCATGGGGGGTGGTGTCACTGATCACTAGTGATTGGTGCCCCTATTCTTGGGCCGCCTTCACTCTCCACCCCGCTGGGACCGCATTGGCGCATGGGAGTGGTGCCTCGTCTCCGTGGCGGTGTTGGGGAACAGTAATAAAACAAAGGTGTTAGCCAAACAAAGGTGTTTCCTCTTAATTAGGAATTTGGAGTAGTTTCTGCACCACAGACTAAACACGACTTGAAATATACACAGTGCTGAACGCTTTATGTAAATAGTTTATTCTGTGATTTAGGAGACATTCCTGGCTTTGCTATCTTTGATTTTTCATCTGTACCCTATAAGAGCTTTTTATGTCATCTGAGTTGTAAGGCTCGCTAGATTCGTGGTAAAGTACAGGACAAATGGAAGCGCCCAATCAGATATGAGAGGGATACCGCACGCACTGTGCAGCGTTGGCCTATCTGTTGGCTTCATCTCTTGCTGATAAAGGGCGATTCTTCAACCTTTTCATCTCTTACTGCTCTCAGAATCAATACTTTGTTCAGAGTTTGGGAATGACTATTGTTTGTTGCTGAACAAATATCTTAGTGGCCTGTGGGCACTTCTTTCTTGGTCCGATAACAGCAAGTCGTAACTGGCTGTGGCCTGCGTGAAGCCAAAATGGAGTCCATTGCTTTATTCCCACTTGACCAAACACACTGGCAGAGGGAGAGGCTGTGTGTACCCTCTTTCAGAGAGAGTTTAGCTCTTCAAGTAGATGTTGTCCGAACCCAGCAAAATATTTTGGAGACGTAGTGTGCTCCTGTGCTTGACGTTTCGTTAAAATGGTTAAATTTTTTTTTTGAGTGTGTGCTTTAGAAGATCAGCATAGTCCTTCATGAAGAACAGGACCCAGAGTTTTCTAGTCGTAACTCTGAATGTCTCTGTAGCTGTGGGCGCACAGCTTTCACGGCAGCCGCTCACACCTGGCAATGAAGGTGTTCAGGGAGGGGGGTGGCGGGCCACGGGGCACCTTCAGTTTGGAAAGATGAACCTTCTCTGCCATGTGTCAGTTATTGGTAGGCCTCAGGATGTTACAAATAAACCAAGGATAACTATATTGGTACTATTCCTTTGTTTCTGATAAAGAGGGTTAATGTATACTTTAATCAGCGGAAGATTGGGGGCTATGTTGCTAACCGTATTTTTTATAAAGTAAGCATGTTACTTTCATAGTGCGAAGAAACAATCACAGTTTATTCTACAATCCCACAATGATGCTTTCATGCAACCAGTCAGCATAGGAGTGTTAGTATCTATATCATCCAAGAGCATCAGCCCTAAAGTGTCACTTAAAAATGCAGGCTGGGGCGCCTGGGTGGCTCAGTGGGTGAAGTGTCCAACTTTGGCTCAGGTCATGATCTCACAGTTCGAGGGTTCGAGCCCTACGTCGGGCTCTGTGCTGACAGCTCAGAGCCTGGAGCGGCTTCAGATTCTGTGTCTCCCTCTCTCTCTGACCCTCCCCTGCTCATGCTCTGTCTCTCTCTCTCTCAGAAATAAATAAAACATAAAATAAATAAATAAATAAATAAATAAATAAAATGCAGGCAATTCCTTTTCCTAATTAGCTTTCATTTTCAAGTCCTGTTTTAGATTTTTTTTTTTTTTTTAAAGCATACAGTAACACTTGAATGTCACAGAGTTAATCCTGGGTTGTGTCAAACTTACCAGCCAAGTCCAGATCTTTCCTGGAGAAAAGCTTGAGTGAAGGTAACATCGTTGCCTTTTTACATGTAATGTTTTATGAGGAAGAAGAAGGTCACAGAACCTATCATGTGGCCCATTTTTTGTCACATCCATTTGGAAAATACTTGACCTGGCTTTATATCTTAAGTAGAAGTGATTGTCTGTGAAGGGTTTGGTTGGCTTAATTCCGTGGACCCGGTGAGCCAGGCAGAAGAGATGTCTCCTTCTCTGGGATGCGTGGCTTGGGCCGTGTGCACACTGCTTCTTTGAAGGACAGTCACATGTGTCGGGGGCATCCGGAGAGAAGTCCCACAAGGAGCAGCAGGCGCTGGGGTTAAATACAAGGGCGCCAGTTCGCCTCCCGCTGTGCCTCTTCGGAAGCTGTGTGACCGTGTGCGAGTTACCGCCCTCTCTCCACCCGCATTTCCTCGCCTGTTCGATGGGGATAGCGGTGGGTGGTGCCTGTTTTAGGGGACGTGTATGCAGATGAAACGAGTTACTGTTTACAAGGCATTTATACAGTGCCAGGCACCTTTCTCTTTGCTTAAGGAAAAATAAGCGCCGAGGAATAAGTAGTAAAGTAACTCTATCATCAAGGCACCCTGGGGCTGAAGACCACCCAAGGTCACCTGTACGAGTAGTCCGGGAACTTGCGCTCACAGCAGAATCTCCTGCGGGGCGTCGTGGAGAACGGGAGCCCCCCCCCCCCCCAGAGTCCTGATTCGGGGGTGCGGCGTGCACCTGAGAACTGCCGTTCTAGCAGGTGGCGCGCTGCTGCTGTTCCAGAGGCCATCAGTCTGTCCCTTCTCTCTGTCGTACAGGGCCCGCTGCTTGATGTATGTGGGCTGTAAACCCGCCCTTCTGGGCGTTAGTTTGGCCTCAGGTAGAAGCTGAACGCTTGTATTGAAAATGACTCAACAATCTCGTTTTCCTCTTAATGGTTATTGTTGCCACTGGCAATACCACTTCTAGCCCTGTGGGGCCATTTGAAGGAGGAGATGTGGGAAGAAGGTTCTAGAAGTACATATGAAGAGTGTCAGCATGCTTGAGAGTTAATTTGAGGAGGGTTTGGCCGACGGGAATTGAGAGGATGCTGGTCCCTTGTGGTCTTCCTCTCCTCCTCAGGACACGGGGCACGAGTCTTCTCATGATTATCTGCCTTGAGTCAGACGTTTGACCATCTCTATGGCTCTGTTCACACACACACACTCACACGTGTGCACGCACACACACACACACACACACACACAC